GGACGAGTTTGCCGGCGGGCGAGTCAATTCAAGTCAAAGTCGTGTGTGATGCAGCGAGTGTGTGAAGTGCGTCGTTCGCGAGTAATCGAGTCACAAAGGGTTCACCTAAGGCTGTTGATCCTATAGGAACTCAATTTCGAGCACTCTACATGTTGGTCTTTAGCCCTTGCAACTAAAAGTTGAGTGCTTGGAACCACTCATACGAGTTCTTCACAAAAATGAGTCAAGAAGTGGCTTGAAGTTCTACGGGAGGTGGGCTCCATTGCTAGTCCGCTAGGATGGTCAACAAGGGACTCCTAAGGCTAGATCCTAGGTTCTAAGAGTAGGAGACTAAGACCTCACTAAAAATGAGGTCAACAGGCACATCTTTATTGTTGTGCAATTTAATTGATAGTGAATATAGGGATAAACCTCATATGACATTCACACTTCATGAGCTTAAGTCGGTCAGAAGTTTGTCACCCTCGACAAACTATTATGGAGGGCGGATGAGATTTACTTTAAACTTTTAAGTGATTAATTTTAAATTGCACTTGATAAGAAAATTTAGTTTAAATGTTGGTTTAAAATTAATCTCTTTAATTGAGATTTTTCGTTAACACAGTCATCATAAGGAAATTTCATTTGGAATTCATAAATTTTGATATCTTTTAGAAATTAGTCATGTTGAATTTAGTCCTAATAGGAAGGAGGATTAAATTAGGTGATTTGGACTTGTAAATTCTTATCTTATGATTTCGACATTTATTTCAAAGTTACTAAACCTATCAACTACAGTCCTTGTCAGGAGGATCAAACTAATTGAGTAAGACTTACAACCCTGCCCTCTAAACAGGGAAACTCAAATGAGAACTTACATAACTAAATTATCTTGAGCTTGATTTCACAATAGAGATTTAAATTTTAAAATACGTGTAGACTTTGAAAAGAAATTTTGTACACACTTCAAAAAATAGGAGCGACTTGAACAAAAAGACTTTATTTTAACTTGCGCAACATTCTCAGACCATTCAATTTAAAATACTTGGTTTATTTTGGTGGAGCCTATGCAGGTTTAAAATTTCATGTATTTGAGCTATTTTAGCTGAAGCATTTAGTATCGTGAGGCAGTTTATATGATTTCAAACATGGATTAAATTAAAGATTGCTTTCAATGACATCTGTGAAAATTAAACGTACATAAATTTTCCTCATCTGATTATATACATAGATACATATAGATGTTCGCTCTAATCTTTTGAAAACCACCTTCTGTTCACTTACAAGTTAGAATTGTGAATCCGGTGGTGAGCAATTTCAAGTCAAACTTATCTTAAAATTAGGGCATTTTAATTTCAATTTAAGCTTAGCCTTCTGAATTTTGATATTTCAATTTTACATTAGGCTAAACCCCCAAAAATATTAAATTATTTTTTAAAGCACAAATATTTAAAAGTTGGGTCAATTTTAATAAGTTCAAACGATTCAAATCTAATAATTTGAATTTAAAAATCCCAAATTTTGGATTAATTTTAAACCCTAGGCTCTTAGTATTGAAAAACTCAATTTTGGCTTAATTTTCAACCATTGAAACGTAAGTTTTCACTGATTTTGATTTTAACCCTGGGATTTCAACTTTGAAAGGCCCAAAATTTAAATTATTTCAAAAATACTTTTAAACTATAAGAGCCAGCATTGCAAACCCAAAAATTTTCAACTCTTTTTAAATTCAAATGATCCATGTTTTTAAATTATTTTATAAACTTGAAAGTAAAAAAAGATTTTTTAAGTTATTTATAAGTCTAAATCACCCGAAATTTCAATACCCTCTTAGCATCAACATCCGTTAAAGGGTACCTGGAGAATGTCAGTCTTCTCAACTGCCTTAAAACTCGTTGGTCAGCGTCATGAGACACTGTGGCCAAAAAAAAAAAAAAAAGAATTTAATCTGCGGACTTAAAAGACGCAACGGGCCTTCGATGTACCAGCAAAAAGTATCAAATCGTAAGCAAGCATTTCTCCGAATGGTACTTTCCCCATTTTAATTACAATTTTAGTTTAGTCTTTTGAACTTTGATATTTCAATTTTAGATTAAGCTAAAGCCCCAAAATATATTAAATTATTTTTTAAAGCACAAATACTTAATATTTAGGTCAATTTTAATAAATTCAAATGATTCAAATTCGAAATTCCCAAATTTTGGATTAATTTTAAACCCCAGGCTCGTACTTTTGAAAAGCTCAATTTTTAGTTAATCTTTAAGTTTGAAAATTTTCATTCATTTTGATTTTAAGTTCTAGGATTTCAAGTTGAAAGGCTGAAAATTTAAATTATTTTTAAAAACCCCAAGAGCCAACATTTAAAAGCCCCAAATTACCAAATTATTTTTAAACCCTAAAGTGCCTACATTTAAAAGCCCCAAATTTTCAAATACTTTAAAATTCCAATGATCCATATTTTTAATCTATTTATAAATCTGAAAGTTAAATGTTTTAAGTTAATTATAAGTCCAAATCACCTAAAATTTCGGCTACATCCCGACGTCAACACTTGTTAGAGAGGCGCCGAAAGAATATCAATATTCCCAACTGAAGACTCGCAGGTCAGCGTTGTGAGATGTTGTAGCCAGGAAGGGGAAAAAATATTTAATCTACGATCTTATAAGAATGGGTCTTCAATGTAATAGCAAAAAATGTCAATCACAAAATAGCATTTTCTCGAGCGTAACTTTACTTTTCTCGAACGGTACTTAATTCTCAAGGATGGGTACTCACATTTCCCAGGACGGATATTTAAAAACTCCTAATTTTATAAATATTTTCCAAATAAGTCTGCAATTTTCCCGAACGATACTTAATTCCTAATCAAGGGTAATCTCGGGTAATCTCGCCTCCTCAAATGGACATTTTAAAAATTGTCTCATTGCCCCATTTTTATATCTTTTCCAGCGAAACGATGATATTGACGGCAGCGATCTACGGCGATAACAACAAAAGCAAATGAAAATATGACAAATTTTTAATCTATTTTTTTAATAAAACAAACTATCAAGTATTAAAAGTAAAATAGAGAAGGGCTTGGGTTGCGGCAAGGCCACAGGGTTCGGCTCGGTTTGGTGCTCTGGCTCGAATAAAAAGGCAAGGGGGCTCACGTCATGCCTTCGAGGAATGGCAAGGAAAACGCAGAGATGGATCGGAGGAAAGTCGCATGTGCAGGCGGAATAGAGCTCGAGTTTAAAGGGAGGAAGGATGCGTGCTCAAAGGAAGGAGCCAGAGCAGTGCATCTTACATGTGGAATAGAGGGATTGGCGAGAGGCGCAAGCGGCTTGGGAGGAGGAAGGCAGTGGGGATTGGATTATTTTGGTTGGATTGCAAGCACAGCGAAGCCAAGAGAGCAAGGCACAATCAGGGCTCATACTTAACGACGAGGAACTTGGGCTCTGAACTTTGGTTCGAATAGGTAAGGCAGAGATGAGTGCCTCGTATGTTTGAGGGGAGAAGAAGGGATTCATGCTTCTCGATCTAGTCGCATGAAAGGTGAACAAGGAAATGAAGATTCGACTCTGGGTATAGAACGAAGAGGATATAGCAAGAGAGGAGCAAGCGTGTGAAGTTTAAAAGTTTTTGTGCGTTGCAATCCCGTCTTTAGTCGCAAGAGATGGCAAGGGCTTAAGTTTCATTCTGTGAATTAAAGAGGCAAACAAGAAAACGGAAGTAAGAGGGAGAGAAGGCTTTGGTTGGGGTTGTACGAAGCGAAGAAGGGATGCCCAGGCCCGCGCGAGCATGCAGGTGACGCATGTGACCTGCTTGGTCCAAGTAGGAGAGGGTCAAGCGGTTTTACCTTGCGCATGATTCCCTCCTATTTGGAGCGGGGTTAGCTCCGCTTTACCCGAAGTTTATATATATTTTTTATTTGTTGTATTTCGATCAATTTTTGCTTCAATTTGTTGTCGTCGGTGTTGTTCTCCCCTGCTAGAGCTGTAACCGAGAACAGGTAGTGCTCCAGCAGTATCCTGCTCCAAGGTGGTGATTATCTTCACGTATTTCCCTTTTCCCTCTTTCCCCTGCTTGCTACTACAGCCTCCAACAACCGCTGCTTGTTGTCACACTCTCCAACAGTCTAGTCGCCTGCTGCCACCCCTTCCAACCCACCTACTGCTCGTTGTCATATCCCCACCACCCCCACCCCTTCCTACCGCTAGGCCTCCCTACCACCCCATAATCTCAACATGCAGCCCACCGGCTTTGATCCTCGCCCTAGGGGGTTTTTATGTTTGAGTTGTTATTTTTCTATTGTCAAGTATCATTGTTTGCAATCCCCTTTAAACTTCAGCAATAAAATTATCATTCCATCATGTTTTGGGTTAACTCGAGTATCATAAAATTTCTGTAATCCTTTTAACTGAAAATGGATGAACTACACATGTTGATAACATGTACAGCATAAAAGGACTCACCTTTCCCACATAAACACCAGAGACAACATGTTGAACTGAGTCGCTGTCTTTATATTGAAGACAAATGAACGGCAGTTGTCCAGTTTCAAATTCATCTAATAATGGCTTCCATGCAGCCATTCGCTTAAGCTCCATCTTTTGTCTGAGTTCAGTTCGCAACCGTTTTTCTCCCTGAAAAAACAGTATGAGTAACCAAAAAAGCTACAAGTTAATATGAATACTGGGGTTATATTACCCATTGATTCCAACACAGATAATAAATATGCAATGAAAAGCAAATGTAAGAAAACACAAAGAACCAAAAATAAAAATATAACAGTATGATGAACAACCAAATACTCTGCAATGTTTTTCTTTCTTGTGCTGAGCACTAAAACATGACAAGAAAAACTTGGTAAACATAAACTTTTTTTAACATAAATGATGATGTCTTTAAATGATTATGTTGAAACTCAAAATAATGCAGAATAAAGTGGAATTAACAGTGGGGTTCTTTCATTGATATGAAGGTGGGCAAAATAACCCTTTAAATGTATCCTAGAATAGGAAAGAGAAAAAAAAATAATATGAAAGGAATGATATATCACATAATATCTCTAATAATCAATTCAAATTAATTATTTGGATATAAAAGAAATAACATAAAATATTAAATGAAATATCTCTTAGTCCAAGAAAATAAATATAAAATAGGAAATAAAATAACTCCTAATCTTAGGAAATAATTTAATCATCATAACTTCTCACAAGAATAAATTATTTCCTAATATAACTTTTAACACTCCCCCCAAGTTGAAAAGATATGAAAACAACAAACAACAGGCAAGGGAGATCCCGTGAAGTAGAAATTGAAGTCTTCATCCCGTATTGCGGTTGTCTTTGACTGCAGTTCATGCTGTGTCTATAAGTAGGCAGAAGACTCCTACAGATAATGTTGCAGATGAGTTTGCAAGAAAGTTGACAACTATATGGCTGTCCTTGACTGCAATTATTGTAATTTCTGTAGGTAGGCGGAAAGTTCCTATAGGTAATGCTGAAAAAGATTTTGCAGGGAAATAGACAATTGTGGTTGTCTTTGACTGCAGTTTCTGCAGTGTCTGTAAGTAGGCAGAAGGCTCCTACATGTGATGCTACAGGGAAGTTTGCAGGGAAATAGACAACCTGCAAGAGATGCTAACTTCTAGTTGATTGTGATTGACTTTCACTGCAGTTTCTACAATGTCAGTAGGTAGGTGGAATGATCCTGCGGGCAATGCGGCAAAGGAGTTTGCAGGTAAGTAGACAGCCTATAGGAAAAAATAACTTTTATAGGAAAAAATGACTTTGTCTTTAACTATAGTTTATGCAATGTCTGCAGTTAGACGGAAGACTCCTACAAGTAATGTCGCATGGGAGTTTGCAAGAAAACCGACAACCTGCAAAAAAAGTTACAGGGTATGACGGGCAAAAAAAAAGGAAAAGCTCCGGAGGTAGGCTTGCTACAGGAAAAAAAACTTAGGAGCAGGATTTGATACAAAAAAAACTCTAGAAGATGGTCTGCTGCAGACAAAACTCTGGAGAAGAACCTGATACAGGAAAAAGCTTTGAAGGAGAGTCTGCTGCAGAAAATGCTTCGAGGGAAAGCCTGCTGCAAGAAAAAATTTCGTCGGAGGCCTAATGCATGAAAAAGCTTTGAAGGCCTAATGCATGAAAAAGCTTCGGATGAGGCCTAATGCAGGAAAAAGCTCCAGAGGAGGAGGGCCTGATGCAGTAAGATTGTGGCTCTACAGAGATCTTGTTGCGATCCTTTTGAAGTCTGGCAACATGTAGGTAACTACACGTAGAAGCATGTCTCCATAGCTATCCTTACTGCAGAAATTATGGTGACTGCAGATGAGCCTACAGTTACACCCTCAGGGAGAGAATTTTGAGTCCACATATCTGAAAAAGTAACATTGGGATATTTCCTTAGAGGTTATTATTACTGAGATCAACATTATTCAACAAAAAAGTTTTTAAAAACACGAGAAGTTGGTCGGAGAGCCTATTCTGCAAAAGCAACAATGTCTGCAATCGAAGCAGATTAAATAGAGTTTTAGTGATTGGACGTGAAATTTGATTTTGTGGGAGTAATATATCGAGTAAAGATGAAGATGCATGAAATGCAAGAATCATACCACTAAGATTATTGGAGAGGTCCAAACTCATCAGCCCGAGTCAAGTTCTAGATTGAAGATGGTATTTTTCCATAAAATGACAATTTGAAAGAAAAAATATTTTCAATGAATTGAGATTTCCAATGGAATCAGGTAAAAATCCGGAAAATTTTGAATGAGAAAGCAGCAAACTTTCCAAAGTGTCAAGCCCGCAGAAACCTAACTGTGGCACAAATAAAGAGGTAAAACTAACAAAGCAATCAGGCACAATGGAGTTTAGAACTTTCCCTTCAAAATCAGGCAAGGTTAAATATCGAAGGTTTGACAATGGAGATCCAATCCGGTAAGCAAGTATTCCTCAAAGCTCAGCTCTTAAAGTTTGGGAGTCTATACGACAAAGCATTCCTCCAAGCTCAGCTCTTAAAGTTTGGGAGTATATACGCCAAAGCTCCAAACCTTTCCTCCCATTTCGTAGAGATTTTCACTCCATCGGGATAGAACCTCCTAAGCCTCTCAAGCCCATGGAGAAGAGTTCTGAGATATGGGTTTTTGAGCTGCAGCAATAAAGACAAATTGGCATAAGTGTGGAAAGACAGATCCAAAGAAACCAAACTATTGAGACGAGAGAGATGTCGATGGGAACTTGCCCTTTGAATCCCGAATTGGAAAGATTTAGATGTGTGAGATTCTCGAGTTCTTTTCCATCCAGAACTTGGAATCGTACTAATACATTATCGTAACTGTGAGAACTATGGTGGCTAGAGGATTGCAAGGAGAGAAGTTCGGTGACCAGTTCCTACAGAAATGAGTTCCATCGACTAGGGCCTGCAAAGAGAGGAAGTATTCGGCAGAAAAACTCAAAAAAGGAGGCGGCAAAGAGCCTGCACCACAGCAAAGATTGTCGACTGCAGGGAATAGGAAGTTTTCCGGCGATAAGAGGCTCTAGGGTTTTTTCAAGGCTCTGATACCATGTTGAGATTCAGAATAATGCGGAATAAAGCGAAATTAAATGGGGAGGGGGTTCATTGATATGAAGGGGGTATAAATAACCCTTTAAATTAATCTTAGAATATGAAAAATAATATAAAAGAAAAATAATATGAAAAGAAAGATATATCACCAAATATCTTCAATAATCAATTCATATTAATTATTTAGAGATAAAAAAAACAACATAAGTAAAGAAAATAACTCATAATCCAAGAAAATAAATATAAAATAAGAAAGAAAATAACTCATAATTTCAAAAAATAATTTATTCCTTATAACTTCTCACAGGAATAAATTATTTCCTAATATAACTTCTAAAAGATTATATACTTTAACAATTGTTATATTAAACACATATGTAGTTATGAATAGTCATGTCCCATTCTGCTGTGAAGTATGTAAATCTTTTATAATGATTAAAATGAGTAAGTGTGGGCAATACACCTCCTGTTACAGCAATCCATTCTCACTTTAGTTTATTCTAGGCTCTTGAATCTAGTCGGAACAACATGCTACAAAACTCAATTATAAAATGAACAAATAATTGGTGACCTATTTTGTTGAAAATTGAACATTAAGAAAATCATACACAAATCAAGGCCTTTATTAATTGAAACAGAAATTGGGGAAAAGTTACCGAGAATAATTAAGAGGTGAGAAGAAGACATTACCCTCAGTTCTTCCTGTAAATTTAAGATTTCAGCATACTCTGCCTCCAAGAGTTGCTCTTGACACTTTCTTTCAATAGCTTCTTCGGTAACTTCCTGTGAAATCAACTCAATTTCTTTCCTGATCCTAGTGAGTTCTTCTTTAGCAGCAAGCATTACATTGCTTCCAACATAGTTACCAAAACTTCGTTCAACCAGTTTCCTAGCTTCTTCTAATGTCCTTCCGGTACTAAAAGAATTTAAATTAGCACTTCTGCTTGCCATACGAGTAACTCTTGTACCCTGTGAACATTCAGCATGTCAAAGGCCGAGATAGAAAATAATAAAAAACTTGAATGGAGCAGATCATTTACCATTAATGAACATAACACGTACAGCTAGGAGATTCAGAACCATTCCATAAGAAGCAGTAAATTGTGATACAAGAGGTTCAAGCCCTGTGAACAGAAGCTCACAAGATTCTTCAGCTCCTTCATACGGAGTTTGAACAAGAACAGCATAGCCAACTTCATCAATACCTCTCCTTCCAGCACGACCTGCCATTTGAAGTAGCTCATTTGAGCTTATAAGCGTCCGTCCAGAATCACCCCTTTTGGTAAGAGAAGAAATTACAGCTGTCCTAGCAGGCATGTTGATTCCAGCAGCAAGTGTTTCGGTAGCAAAAACAGCCTTCACAAGGCCTCTTTGAAACAGTTCCTCCACAAAAGACTTCCAGAGTGGTAAGCAGCCCGCATGATGTGCTGCAATTCCTTGCAAAAGACCTTTCACGGCGCATTCCCGAATAGCATCAGGATATTGTACCCGAAATTTCCGTAATTCAAGCTCAACTTCACTAGCTTCACAGTCATCTAAAAGCATGCAATCCTCAAGGTACTGAACAGCGGCATCACAACCTCTTCTACTAAAAATAAACCAAATAGCTGGTAGCATATTATTCACCCTAAGGTGCTTTAAGGTATCCCTAATTTGAGGAACCTGAAGGGAGAACAAAATTTTGCATTCTAGTACTTACATTATTTAATTAAGGAAATCGAAAGGCATAAGAGACAATGCAAAAAAAAAAAAAAGTGAGGAAAAGATCTATCATACTATACTTGTGAACGGCGTAAGCTTGTCATGACATTCTTTGATAAAGATGTCTTTCTTGAGATCCTAGAAATCCTACTAAGGCTTTGTTCAGTTTTATTCAATTTATATTTTCTTGTTCTGTTCTCACTGCAAGAATCTTCCTTTGAGGATGATGGATGCAAGTTATCAATTGAAAGTTTCCTGCATTCCATAAAGTTTGTAAACTTTCAATGAACTTCTACCAGAAACCAAGCATGTCATTCATTACAAAACAAAAACAGAACATTTGCACTTAAAAGGTATTTATTCAAAGCATGAAGGCTGCCGCCCGGTTTCACGAATCAATGAAGAAAAGGATAAAAACTACCATCAAGATGTGTTCTCATTGAAGAATCCAAAACTTCAATTATTCATTTACGTTACATCAATTTCCAGCAAAATGGAAGGTACTTTGCATTTAACATTACACAAAGAACTGTCCATCAAATGTATTAACATGAAAACAAAGAATTGCTATACCAAACAAACACGTGCTACCCTAAATAAAACAATCTATGAACTGCAGCTATACTAGTCAATGTTCTTTTGCACGATACACCACCAACAACAACAAGCCTTTATCCCACTAAGTGGGGTCGGCTACATGAATTCTTTTCCTCCATTTCATCCTATTGAGTGACATATTTTACTTTAATTATAATAAATTAAGATCATTTTTTTTAATATGCCCAAGTCTTTCTGGGTCTACCTTTGCAAAAGGATTCATGTAGCAAATGAGAAAATATTATAAGCAATATTACATTATCACAAAAGCAAACATTAACTACCTAAGTCACGACAAAAACTGACCTCAAAGAGATCTAGGCTAAAGCTTTTGAATTCAGAAAAATATAACATGGCATATTATCAATTCCGAACTAAGCATAGGCACTATTTAACCAATAAATATAGCGACGATTTGTGATCATTTCCAATGCATAGAAAAAGTTGATATAAAAATCAATTTAAAGGCCAGCCTCCAGTAATTAGTGATGACCAGTCGGTCAATTAGATTTCATAAATTTCTTAAACAAATATTTAGAACCAAAACTAACATGTAAGGACCCGTGAAAAAATCCCAATTCAACAACATTGATTCAAAAACTTGATTTAAGTTATTTTCGCTAACACACACTTTAGCAAATATGCAAACTCCCGCATTAAAACATATATTATATTATCAAACATAAAATTTCTAAATTGATGCCATGCATATATAATTAAATAAAATGCTTAATTTCTTAAGAAGAGCAACATATCACACCCCAACATAACCCCCCCCCCCCCCCCCGCTGAAGTGCAACAGAAGTTGGCAATTTGATCAAACCAACTCTCACCAACACTTGTCCTAACTTTTATAATCAGGGCCCGATGGGTGATGAGTCAATTTAACTGGATCGTCGCAACATAGAAGGTACATTGCATTTCAATTACATATTCGGAAGCATGGAAATTAAATCATCGAAAATATGAAAACTATACAGAACTACTAAATTCAAAACAATAAAAATACTTACCCAAAACTAACAAGTAAAAACTATATAAAGACACACCTGGCTACTCACCCTGGTGCTCGTTGCCCCTAACTGAAAGGCAACAATGAAGAATGAGCAAATAACAAGCTCAGAGAAATAATCAGGGCTAATATAAGGTATTACACATGAAAAAGAAGTAACATGTCTGCCTGTAGAAAACGGTACATGTCTACACACAAATCATAACACGCTAGCATAAGAAACCATATACAGAAATCAAGGCTACAATGTAATATGTAGGTCGTAAGCATGAAAGCATAAGCATGTCTCATAGGAGTGTCATTTTATAGAGGTTATATCATAATAACATCGCTTGTTTAATATATATGGTTCAACTATTTTCATGTTCTTCCATAATGAGTCATCACCCTGCCCCAATGGCCGAATAAACAATCGATAAAGGTTGGGTTTGCCCCAACATAGCAGTTATCGATAGCCCCCTGATGCCCACTATTCCCTAACGTTCTATCATGTCTAATCCCAACGGTTCCCAGAGTTTCTTCCTCGTACAAATATTAGGAGTCGGGAATACATCCATGCATGTAGTAGTCTACACATATTATTCATGACATTTCTTAAAGCATAATACATGTAACATATATTCATGGATATTTCATATACATTTATAATCATCTACAATATGGAAAAAGTCTAAATTCTTTCATGTTAACCTAGAAATCATATGCAAACCTATAGAATAATATTTTTCTTAAATTAACATAAGATTATTTCACCTGATTTGACGATGAAGCCCTACAATAAGTTTCTATATGCTCGCCTTGAGCTTGTCGCATTGTATACACAACCTGAGGAAAGTAGACATCATAGGAATTCATAAAATTCGGGTTCATAACATGATTTAACCCAAAAAATAACTTATTCGCCCCAAACATACCTCAAATAGGTTTTTCAGCAAAAATGTTCATTCTGAACAGGCTAATTTTCTTCCCATCTCCTTCAACTTAACTTACCCTTTGCTAAATTCATGTTAAATTTTTTTTGGAAGCTTGCAAAACAATTATGACACTTTCGAAGCAAAATCGGTGCCTCTGACGGCTACCAGAAATGAGAAAAACACAAAAAATGAGGTAAACATCAATAAGAAAGTGTGGAGAAGGAAATGAAGGCTTAGAATGGCGAAGGAAAGAGATTTGTACCCTTGGACTTCACCCCGGAGCCCGAAATTACAAGTTGCGGCACCCAAGGGGTCGCTCGATTCGTTGTCTGCTTGCCCCGTTCGCCCCTTGTACTGTAGCAAGGGGCCCCAGGCTACGCCTACCTCTGCCGAGCATGAAAGAACAAGGAGAGAGGTCACTGGCGAGAGGAGGAATTTCAGGAGAGTAGGGAAGAACTTTGAAGCTTAGCAACCCCTATTCGATAGAACAAAAGAAAAAAAAATGGCGTAAGGTTGGTGGGCTACAGTATTGAGGATTAAAGGAGGAAATTAAGGAATAATTAAGGAATTATTACTTTAATAAAACTTATACTTTAAATATTTTATAATTCTCAATTTATTCGATTTACATACAGTGCTTTATATCAGTTTGATAAGTTTCATGCGTAGAATTTAATAAAACAATTTCGATCAAATTCCGGGAGGTGAAAATTTTGGGACAGTTTTTAATTGCGTCGAACTTACCTGATTTCTCAAAATTTGGGTGTTACATGACATCTCATATTTAAGAACATAAACTTTCAGTGAGCCTAAATTTCAATGAGATATTTATATATGATAGAATTTTTGTCATTTAATGACATATTTTGTCTCAATATTAACTTCCCAAAGTCAAATTTAATTTTTTTAAGGAAAAATATATGTTAGAGGAGGAGCTTGGCTCAAGATTTTTTAGTTAGTCTATGCAGAAATTGCCCTTTAAATACATGATATTCCTCAATGCTCCAAACATCTGTAGGAATTTTTTGGCTTGCTGAAAAAAGGAATACAGTGTAAATGAAATAGTGTGCTATGAATACTTCGCAACTATTTGTTTCAGTGTAAAATAAATCCAGAAATTTACTTTTTTATTTGATTTGAAGAAAAATGAAATCAAAATAGAACAAAATCAATGGCTAGCAGTAGACACCAGCAAGGGGCAAGCAACCGGCAGATGAAGGGCTGGTGGAGACGGTGGCCTACTGTAATTATTATTTTTCAAATTGTAAATCCAGTGGCTTTAACTAACATAATTATTTATTCTTTTTCATATGAATTTTTTGAACTTATATAAGTCTAGTGATTCTCAAAAGAGTCATTACTAAAATATAGATGCATTATTTTTTATTTATCATATGATGATAATAATAACCTTAAACATCGTCATAATGTAAATCATTCTCAAGCATTTAATATTTTTGTCATTCAAGACGAGGAATATGACAATATCCTAATGACATAATGACATCTAATACGTTGATATTACATTGCAAGTCTCACAATTTTTACCGCTCATTTTGCATGCCCCGCGTCTTGCCATTTATATTTTAAAAAATAGAAATTCTCTTTTGAGTTTCCCTATTAGACTAATAAATAGTAAGTTTTTCTTCTAACAAATTCAATCACATTACTTTTAGGACCGTCACTATAAAAGCAAACATGTCAACGATAATTATTTTCATAATTCAATATTTATATTTTAATTGCACATCTTGTTTTAGATTCAGAATGGATTTTGTGTTAGCTGGCATTTTGAAGTTGGTTCTTTCATTTCCTTTCCATTAATTGATATTTATATTTCACTATTGACTTATTGTAAGGACTCGGTTAAACGATGGAATATTATTTATTTACTAATATTTATACTTATTTATTTTTGCTTAAAGTTATTTATACATGATGTTTCCCACTAGAATTCAAAATTTCTTTATTTATCATGAATTTTGAGATTTATCTCATTAGTTGAAATCAATGCCTTTATCATGTCTCATGTTATCAAGATGTAACACCTCCTGGACTTGAGGTGTTACAAATAATGCCCATGTAGGAGCGATGGAGAGCAGGACACATGCACCACCAATGGAAATGATGAGAGTAGCTACAACTGGGGGCACATCAGTAGTAGCAGCAGACGAGAGGGATGCATGCAATTTAGCGAATGAGGCATATGAGCAATAGTGGACAAGGCCCATGCAGAGACAACAAGCAGGATGCATGCAGCAACAGCAGGCAATGTGCTATAATGGCAAAGAACAAGATTTGTGCAGCGAAAGCGAGCAAGTTAGGGCGGCAAACAAGTAGAAAGTTGTGCTATGTGGAGTAGATAAGCATAGAAGATAAAGATGAGAACGGATAGAGAGGGGGTTAGGATTGGGACAAATGCTGCTCTAATATAATGTTAGAATGGAAACGTATGTGTGATAATCACACGATGATCTCTCTATACATAATAGAAAAGTGAGTACAATGACTTAAGGACAACCAAATACACATAGAACTTATTATTATTATTTTCCTAGGTCAAAAATACTCATTTTGGAGTTGTCAAAATTACTTTTGATAGTTGGAGAAGCAAACACATAGAGGATAATCATAAAAGGCCTATGAAATATCATCATTTTAGCAGTTATTTGGTAGATATGAGTGGAGAGAAATAGTGTTTGCTTGGGGGATAGAAAGATAGATGATAGAATACTTTGATGTAAAGTCGTTATCTTTTGGGCTTATTCTTCCTGGATATTATAAAATCAAAAAGGCTATGGCAGACCTCAATCTTCCTCAAAACTCCAAGGAGCTTTATCTTCTATTGGAGTAATCTATTATTAGCTTCATTCTTTTCTTTTTTTCACTAGTGTCTATTAATGTAATTATCTGATACTTATTTTGATGAAACGGGTCTAGCACCCTGCTTTGCAATTAAAAAAAAAAAGCAACAGCACATAGCATCAAGAAATCTAGTATCAACAGTATGGTAACTCTACCCAAACCCTTAGATGTACTCCCAAAATCCCATCTAACTACCACAACTTCCAAATTCATACAAAGAAAAACACAAATATAACTGTAGATCTGAACCAAAAACTTCAGTTTAAAAAATGCCCTTGTCAGTTTCTTCCAACTGCTCTCTAAATGTAAATTTCATTCACCCTCCACTTAATATGTCACATTTACTTTCATTTCCTGTTTATCAATTAAATCGCGCACAAGTAAGTGTTAGCCTTTGAATACAATCAAAATCCGTGTACCCTCCTGTCCCCATCCCTTGCTCTCTATATCTTATAATCAAAAGCTATCAGATAAGCAACCATCAAACTAAAATCATGAGCTAATTAAAATATCTTCAGAAAAAGGTGCATGGGCAATGCAAAAGGTTTCCAAGTAATGTCAGATCTAGTTCAGGTTGATCCATGCAGCCTAACAATGCATTCTTAAGACATTCTTGGTCAATAATCTCAAAGTCACAATGAAAACGACCTATTTGTTGCTCCTAAAGCTACTATTTTTCAAAGGATTAAAAAAGTATATCACCATATGGATAAAAATTAAGTAAAAGAGTTATCTTTCAATTACTTAAGTTTATAAATTCAACTTTTGTGATGGAGGGTGAAACATGTGAACATAAGTGACTATCCTTTAAAATGGATACTAGTCCAGCTAATTTGGTTGATGAGGGAATTGCAAGTCGTCTAAAATCTTGAGTTTGGTCCAAGCCTAGGTCATAATCACCACCATATATCATAAAAGAGCTATACAAAGAAAAGAAAAGAAAAATCAGCAATCAGGTTATAAGTTTAAATGAAGACCAATAAACAGCATTAAGAAAAAATGTGGCAATACACTTATGAAACTGATATTGAAAATATATGAAGTACCTATTGATTTTTGTGCCTTTCTCATCTAAAAGTGGTAGCAGAGAGTTCTTTAAGGAGAAGTACCACTGTAGTGGAACTGGCCTTTTTGTGGAAACCACCAATTCTGTTTTGCCATGAATCTACATCAAGTGCTGTGGACATTAGACTGACTAAAGTGAAATGTTATTGTTCATAATGCAGTAGCAAATCAACAAGAGAAATACGGAGGATAGTTCTGAATTGAGTGTATTTTTCCTAGACAAGATTTTGGTTGTATGTTTGTAGTTGATCATGATGACATTGTTCACAGGCAATTTCCTCACACAAACCTAGAAAATAAGCTCGTAGAACATGTCAACAACGTACACATCTCAAAAGAGATCCCTGTGAGCACACCAAAAGCATAAAGCAGAATAAGAAGTTCAAAAAGAAATATTGGCTTTAAAGATAAATAGTGAAACAAAGGATTTTATTGTTAAAAGGATTCTATCGTTAAAAAGGAAGTCAAGCAGAGCCGTGAAGCCTATTTTGTTTATAAAAGATTTTGCCACTGGTTGGATGGTCATAAGTTGTGAATTATGCTACCATGTTATTTTGGTAGCTTTTATAATATACAAGGATAATTAGGTAATTCTTCTTAGAAAGGAAATTTGATTTGTCCTTTACTTTAATGTCACTGTTATTTATTTTGAAGCCATTGATCATGACTAGTAATTCTTCTCTACTCAACTCTCTAAAAACTTCTTATTAAGTCTAGGTCGCTAATGGGACCAATATGCTGATAATAGAGGCAGTAAATGTCTCACTTTCTTTTATATTCTCCATGTCTACTTAAATTTGCCTTCTCTACTATGTTCATTTGCATCAGTGAACTCACCACCACCAACAACAACAACAACAAAGCCTTAATCCCACTACGCGAGGTCGGCTACATGAATCCTTTTTCTCCATTGCGTCCTATATAGCGTCATATTTTCATTTAAATTTAATAAATTAAGATCATTTTTTTATGCAATAAGCCCAAGTCTTCCTAGGTCTACTCTGTCTTTCTTAACATAATTCGAATCTAAAACATCTACTCTCCTAATCGGATCATCAGATGGTCGACGTTTAATGTGACCAAACCATCTAAGACGACTCTCCTAATTTTGTCCGTCATCAGTGAACTCACCAAATAACTTAATTGTTTTGTAACATTTCATTCTACCAACTATGTTCCATGATATCCTTACGAAAAATGCAAATGGCATTGCCAAGAAAAAAGAGGTCGTATAAAACATTCTTTTATAACATTGACATTAAGTTACCCATCTTTTTCTTATTCAAAAAGTTTATTTCCTCGGTTGTCAGAAACTTCATGCTTTTAGTTTAAGGTGTGAACGATGTATTTAGCTAAAAATCAAGTTCCTTTTAAAATAAGCTTCAATAAAAGTTTACTTCCTTTCACAGATAGTTATACTGATGTTTGAGGACCTTTCTCGATTCCTTACATCTTGGGACACAAATATTGCCTTTTAATAATGATTTTACAAGATTTGGCCATATTTAATTAATTCAAAGAGCGATGTTACACAATGTATTCCCCAACTCCCAAAAATAATTGGCACAGAATTGCATCCCTAAGTTTTCTCACTCTTAACAATCCGCATAATTTACGAATCAATCTAATATTGCTTTATTCAAAAAACATAGAATCCTCCACTAAACACATGCATTTACATGCCATGATAAAATAGCATATTAGAGCATAAGAACTAGCATATCCTTGAGGTCGCAACTACAGGTTACTATAAACTTTCCTAAACTTTTTTGGATTGAGCTTATCATGACTATTGTCTTCCTTATAAACCGAAAGCCTACACGTATCATTAACTATCAAACGTCTTTTGAGGATGTTGTCAATAATTAGTATTATTCTATGTCATAAACCTTTGCACTAAGGTATTCATTAGCGTGTAATGTTTATGTTTACTCCTATATTAGGGATAAGTTGATCGCCCTATACCCTTAAGTGTGTCTTCTTTGGTTATTCTAATTATAAAAAGTGCTACAAACATTATTATCCACCTAAAAGAAAAAAATTGTCCATGTATATTCAATTCTATGAACAACCTTATTACTTTTGGAATGGCAAGCAGGTGTGGGAGCAACAAGGGAATCCTGGTAGCAATGAAGGGAAGGTGCGAAAATGCAGAGACAACAAGTATGATTATTGTCCTGGATGGTGGAAGCAAGGAGTTGGGGTGGGAAGCGGCGGGATTTCCTGGCTTTCCTAGGCAACGGCGGCAAGTTGGAGGGCTAGAAGAGCAAGAACAAGGTTGGGAAAAGGCAGTTTAGGTGGAAAAAATGCAGAAAGGGAAGGGGGAGGCAACTGGGAGGTTGGAGGTTGCCGAAAAAGAGCAAGGCGAGGCGGTTTCTGGAGGTGGTGGCAGTACAGAATGGTGGACGGTGGAGGCAGCAATGTTGCTTGGCTGGAACTGTTGGGGCAGAGAAGTAGAGGGAAAGGAAGGCGATGGTGACGGTTGGAACTGCAGAAAACAGCAACTGCAATGTTCTCTGCCACCGCAGCACGGCGGAGGATGGTTGCAGCTCTTGGGAGGGGGAGATGGTGGGGGTAGTCGACGATATTCACTACCATAGAATGGGATACAGTTAGAGCGCCACTCGCCCTTGAATACAGTCTAGAAGAGAAAAAAAGACACCAACTGCTGTTCCGACTGAAAATTCACAAAAATTAAACATAAAACATCAAAAAAGTAAATATATAATAATAGGATAACCACAAGTGGTATAAGGGAACCGGTCGACTCCACTACCGCAAAAATACCTAGGCCACTTCAATCCAGAAAAGGAAGCAGGATCCCCTTCCCGTTGCAGTCAATCCCGCGTGAGTGGGATACGCCCTGCGCCGCTATATTGTTTAAAACCAATTTTGGGAGTTTTGGTTTTGAATTTTCATTTAGAGTTTTTTTTTTTCTTCTAGTTTGAGAGCTCCATCCTCTTTCTTTTCAAATGGTGTACTAGTACCTCAATCACGAATAGATGATGAATCCTCAATGAAGTTTGTATCCCTATTACATAGTAGCCGACCATCCCCTTCCTCTCAACTTACCACAAAAATAGCAGCAGCCAACCCTCAAACTTTCCAAATCCCTTTCATTTTTCAAGTTTCCCCTTTTCATTATCTTACAACATCCTCAAACCCTTATTTTGTTCCCTATTCACAGCCTAGAAATCCCATATCAACATCAAAAGACAATTTTTATTTCAAGCAAGGGGAATTTATATAAAATGTAAAAAAGGGGTAGTGTGAAAGACAAGTTGATGTTGAATCTAAATCTTATGAGAGGAGTGAGTAGTGATAGAAGTGATAGGCCCATTCAAAATACTATCTAAGAAGAAGCAAGGAATGCTAGTATCATGCCCCACTCCAAACTTCAATACCCCACTTGAAGAAACTACCGCCCCTGAAAATTTGTTCTCTGAATAAAATTTATTCAAAATGAGAACATTCTTTGGGTCATCCTCCTGACAGGGCAAGGTCATAAGCCCCAACTTCTATACATGATCCTCTACAAAAAATACAATAATGGGAAAGGCATGTAACTCGCCAATAGTTATTGAAACGCAAGTAAATATTTTTCCCCAATTGAGCTAATTTTTTTTATCATGAACTAGGGATTCAAAATTCAATAATAAATAACATCAAAATATCTATCTACGCATTTTTATTAGGTATTCAAGGTCTTTTGTGATGATAACTTATTTAATGAGAGAGCTTCGTGAGCAATCATGCAGATAAAATAGGGTTATGTCCCAATTGTATTATGCACCTTACCTAAAATTTTAGGCAATAATTCCCACTATGAGTCCAACCCTCAATAAGCCAGTATAGTCTATATAACTAATGGCGCAATAATCTACATAAAAAAAATAATAATAAAGGCAAGTTTTCTTATACCACAATTTGTAAGCCAACAACATGATTATACCATAACAGTAAACGATGAAAGAATCATAAGTGTGAGAACCTCTGCGTGCTTTTAAAGTATCTACCTGATAATGGAATCAATTATTTCATGTTATAACCAAAGGGTTGATCATCAAAATCAAGCTAACATTTTAAAAACAATTATTCTAAGCCTATTCATGTATGATAGGTACAATTAGCATCGATTAAAACTGAAGAATCTCACCACAAAATGCTCTCTAAGAACTTCAACAAAAATGTATTTCAGGCTCTTTTTTTATGGTAGGCACAGTCGAAACATAATCATAATTGAAAATAATTTCATAAAAGCTAGTCATTACAAAATTTATATATATTGGTCGCCAAAGCTCATAACAACCATGTCTATCCTCCACACCAATTTGCCAATGATGACTAATTTAAGTTTTAACCAAAACATTTTTTGCCCAATCCAAATTATTGCCACTAAAGCAAAACAACATAAAGGCTATACTGAACTAAATCAAAAACTATTTCTTATAATCAAGAAAGACAATATAATTAATCATAGAAACTTGTGTCTATCAAAAACTTCAAACAAGATCATAAAATCCTCACAAGATGAAAAAATCTCTAAATTGTGTCATATCTAATATCCAATACCTTCTAAAAAACGCAAGTCAAAATCACTTGCACGTGACAAAGCCAAGTAGGGAATTTCATAGCCCGCAAAAAGACAAGTAGAAAGTCTTAATATTTTAAGGAAAAAACATTATTAACTAAAAATTTTACCTGACCTATCCAACCAGCTAACTCGTCAGGATTTGCAACAGTTGCTGAGAGACATATAAGTTGGACTTCCTTCGGACAGTATATGGCCTGTGTTACTTAAGTGAAAAAAAATAAATCATGTGAAATAAAAATATCAAATGCCTATAAGATAAGCAAACTAAAGAACATAAGAACACATACTATCTCTTCCCAAACAGTACCACGTGATATGTCACTCAGATAGTGAACTTCATCAAGAACAACCACATCGACGTCAAACAACTTACTCCCTGAAGACACCATTCCAACACTACAGAATAAACATAATAGTTTATAGTGTCAAACTATATCAATTGATAAGAAATTTAAAGTGAAAGCATTGGTATCCAAAATTTAATATTTAATTTTAATAATATAGGAACAAGGTCTTCCGACATCCAAGAAAAAAATACATTCCTAACCTAATAACTGTGAATCCATTGAGTTTCTATACATTAACCAAAACAACAATCGTGGCAATGGGGTGATTGAAGTTAACTATAGAGTTGAGTACAAAGTATGAAAACATCAGCATACTTGATTAGTGTGTTCAATAAAAACTTATAGAATAGAAACATGTATAAATAAAAATATAAAACATTAAGAAAATCCAACACTTCTAATATGCTTGCAATAGTTGACGAATCAATGGCGTTGAGCATTATCCAATGCTTCCTTTCCAAAACATGCCAGATACATAATACAATTAAAAATATTGGATGTTACAATTGTTTTTCATAAGAAAATATGATTAAGTCGCCTACTTTTGGATATTGGCAAAAAGTGACAACAATAACAAGCATTTATCCCACTAAGTGGGGTCGACAAATTTAACACTTCCATTATCGGCTCCCAAGACCCGGATATGAAAAGTGGAGGGTTGTGTTAAGTAGTTGACCACCAGCATAAAATTTGTCCAAAAAATCATAACATTAATTATATAGGCAAAAAGTGAAATTCAAAAATATTTCATCAAGGTGTTTCTCTTGTAATATTTTAGGCAAAAAGTGAAAGATCAAGATGATTATTAGATGGTAAAAAATCTTCTATTTCAGTCAAAATAAATTACATCTATCAATCATCTTGATCTTTCAAACTATTTAGTGAAAAATCTCTCCTAATATGTTTTGGTTTGTTCCGAAAACTTGTTGCTAGGCATAGATTTTCTACATGATGTGGTGGTTGATATTGCTAACCCTGATACCCCTTCGTTGGTGATTACCATCTAGCGTGAATACACCGCAAGTTATTGTACAACAACCTCTTCCCACTATTGAAAAAAAAGATTATTTATCACAACTGATTTTCTATGGTTGAAGCTTTTAGAGTGTTAACTCTCCAGTAAATAATAGACTTAAATTTTTTTATACCAAAAAGAGGCAGATATTAGAAGAAAATCAATCGACACCATCCTAATTTCACTAGAATTCAAGCTAGGTGACTCAAATAAAATCTTTATATTTTTCTATTTTATTATATTTTATTTTAGCTCTGACATTTCTTGTTAAATGTCATTAATTTGATCTTTTCTTTAAACTAATTAATGACAATGGCTACTAAAAAACATCATAAAAATATAATGGGCATGGTGAAAACATGGCATCCCATAAAAAAAATTATATAAAAAATAAATGTAGGCCTAAAATGGAAAAGAAAAAATGCACATAGGATAATTAGCTAGTGACAAAACTCAAAAAGTAGTGTGCACAAAATTAATTATCACAACAATAGTATCAAACAATATTTAAATGGGATAAAATGTCAAATAGTAACAGCGAGACCAATTACATTACCTCTGATACATCATGTTACGAAGAATCTCTGTCGTCATAATTAATATCGATGCATCTTTGTTAATTGAAGAATCTCCAGTCAAAAGACCAACTCTATTCTCACCAAATGATTTCCTATAAACATTCAACCCCGAACAATTTGTCATTACAATGCTGAAGAATACAGTACCAAATGATGTGTCTCTCATCTTTGATAAAAGTTGAATCTCCAGTCAAAAGATTGAGATATTGATGGAGAACCCACCACTTGTTTTATTATTTGTAATAAACGTTATTTTTCTTTTTTTTTAAATTATTATATTAGCAATTTTATGTTAGTTAGAGCTTCATGATCATTTCATCTATTATTACATTTGCTATAGATGGAGAGAGAGAGACAGAAACACGGAGAAATAGAGAGACTAATGTCAAGTTAGATTTATCAAGATAAATGAGCTTAATTAATAATGACCTCAAATAAATAAGGAATGCAATATTAAGAAATATTAAATGAGATTTTCATAAAGAAATACATTTTAAAAAATAAGAATAAAAACAATTAGCATAACCATGAACTTCACTATAGATTAATCATAAAGAGAAGTGAGTTCCTTTATATTATGCGTTATGTTAGGTAAGATTATAAATAATTGATGAAATACATGTTGAGAGTTGGAGAGTTACAAATGATGTTAGGAAACTTAGGTTCTCAAGTCGCTTACTGAAATCCTGCAAAAGAGAGTACAGTATGCGATAGAAGGATGTAAATTTTTCAATACATGAGAACAACAGATAACATTTAGAATTATAATAATTGTAAGTTACCAAAATAATTTATAAGATAATATATTGGAGCATAAGTATAGAAGTAATCACACCAAAATCAATTAATTATTTTCAATTTATAAATATCTATAATTAAGTCATTTTTTGTGCTCAAACAGTTATGGAAAGCATGGAGACTGATGGAAGGATTTTTAAATCATTTTTGTTGATTCAAAAAAGTTCTATGGTGATGTAATATGAGAACTTGTTGGTTTGAATTGAGAAGAAAATATGTGAAATAAATACATGTTGAAGTAGTTCAAACTATGCATGGATGAGGAGGTGACCATTCTTAGAATTCATGCCAAAGTGACTAGAGAGTTTTAAATCACATCAGGATTATATTGAAGAGCATTATCTATTACCAAAGGAATACTTCCGAAGATATTAAAAATCAAGTATGTTGATTTATGCTATTTTCATGTGGTAGAAGCAAACTCAGTGCATAATGTTCCAGATAATGCAAGTCTAAGTAATTAATCAACAACCTTACCTCACTATTTGTAAAGAGAATGTCATTGCGACACTTACAATTGCATATGATGTTGTGCTAAATTATAAAATATCCTCTAGAATATAAAGGGCTTAGAATTAGTAAGAAATAATTTAAGTTATTAATAGTTGATAAACAACCTTAGTGCATATAAAAATTGAAAACTATCAACTTGTAATAGCAAGCATTTAAAGTTTAATTAATTTAACTTAAAAAAAGGAGATTTCTTGCTTACAACACCTGATTTGCAAGTGTTATTTGTCTGTCAACCCCATCGCCCACGAGAAAGCATATGAGGGCTTATCTCTCGTTTCCTTCCATTTGAACCAACAGCACGAGAGCAGTAAGAGAGGAAGGATAAGCAAGCAAAGGAAAAGGGAGAAGGAGAAGCCATGAGGAAGAAGAGCAAGGAAGTCGAGAGTTTTCCTTGTCTTATGGTTCCTGAGGACTCAATCGAGCCTTGTAAGCTCCAGTTGAAGAGAGTCGTGCCTTAATCGAAGAAGATGAAGAATAAGAAGAAGGCGCTTGAGGAAGGTGGGATGAGATCGAACCAAACAAAAGAGGGTTTGGGCTGTTCAAAAGTGTCTCAACAGTCCAAGGCACGGAACGAAAATGAAGGGTGGTAAATACAGAGCAGCTCCTCTCCATTCAAGCGTCACTTCCTGTACTCGAGAGAAGGTCGAAGGGCTCCTTAAACTCCTAGCGCAAGGAGCTGCTCAAGTAGGGCTTTTATTCGTGCAAACGTGTTTGGTTCCAAGCATCTACAAGCAAGGGAGACTGATACAACAGAAGCGTACGGAGACGATCGGACAGTTGTTGGTGCCTCTGGAGATCGATGAATAATCAGTATTAGTGGAACCAACTAGAAGAGTGAAGATCAACTATCAGCTTACTTAGAAGCGTAAGGAGACGCACAAGAGGAACAATATTGATGAAGAACATGTAGATCAATTAGAATGATCCAATGGGAAGAAGACCAGGAAAAATTCAGATGGATTTAGTAGATGTACAACTCATATTAATATAGTTACCTGCGCAAATGTAAAAGATGATATAAGGGTGAATGATTGATGGGCTCCAACACATATTACTGGTATCGTCAGCCTGGACATATAGCAAAATATTGTCCATCACTTGGCCAAAAGAGTACTGAAGATCAGAAATCAGGTAGAGCTCCTTCACAAAAGACTGCAAGTTGACAATAGAGTATAGCTTCAGCTCCTACCCAAGATCAACCAAGTCAGCCTGTTCAACCTCGAGTTTATTTAATCACTCATAGTGAGCCTGAAGAACCCGCTATTGTTGATGTTGATGTGTTTTGATTTATTTATATATATATATATATATATATATATATTTATATATATATATATATATATATATAAAAGTGTTTTTCTAGTATATTTTTTCTTGCTTTGGTAACTATGTGTTGTTATCTGAAGTATGGTTGAGTCACCTTGTATAGGATATTTACCTTATAGTGATTGCTTTTTATCTTCATGAATGACCTTTAGTGTTTATCATGAAATTTATGGATAGCTAATGTCGACCTACTTAATGAGCTATGTTTGCAGCCAGTTTTAAAATTTCGAAAATGAAATTTTTGTAAGTTGAGAAAATTGTGACGTCTCGTTTCAGTTAACCAGAGTAGAGGAAACCAATAATTGAAGAAGCGAGGAGTTGGGAAACCGAATAGAGTGGAGAGAAAGAGAGGGGGCAGAAACCATGGAGGCGAGCTCGCCCTCTAAATCGATGCGAGAGGTGGGAGCTCTCGTGCATGCGGTCAGAGAGCAGAGGAAGAAAGAAGAAGAGATGTTGTGTGCTTTCTTACCCAAGAAAACGACACAGCGAACCCGTGTTTTGTGCTCTAGGGAAGAGGAGGACCGCAATATTGCTTTGCTGCGTCGAACCACAGCCAAAGGCAAAGGAAGGAAGATGAAGTGCGAGGTGGAACCAACGTTCAGAGGAAGAAGAAGCTGTTCAAAATCAAGTATGTTGATTGACTATTAAACATCATGCATTTCTTATTAAAAATTGGAGATAAATTGGGATACTTCAAAAGTTAAATGTGGGTAATTATAATGAAATATTATCTTGGCAGTATTATACAATATGAGAACAACATGGAATTTAGAGATAAATTTAATGAAAGAGCAATTAGATAGCCTTGTTACATGGATCCATATGATGGGCAACAACAAAGTTACTGATAGCCAAACTAAGTGTGATAAACATGAGAATATCAATGTGGATATGACATAAAACCAAAAAGAATATATGAAAATTATAAAAATCAAGGGACAATATGAGTAAAGCCTATCAAAGATGGGTCATTAAAAAATAAAATTAGTTTGAGAATTTATTAAGAGTAGAAAATGTAGGCGGATAAAACTTAGTGGATAGATTACGAGAAAAAATGGTTAACCAAAAATAAAATTGTTAAAAGTTGTGCAAAAATAAATATTCAAAATAGAATTACACCTCAAGTTGTAGTTTAAAGAAACGATTGGTAGGTGAGAAAGGATAATGATGAACCCAAAAAACGTTGATAAAGTTAATGATGATCATGGTGAGGCACATAACTTTTGGCATGGTTATTTCAAGCCATTTCAAGCCACAAAATGAACGAATAGAATGCTCTTAGCCATAATTTATAGAAAACATGAGAAAAATGCAATGCGATAAATAATGATGCACATCTAGCACCTTACCAAAGGAAGAGAAACATGTAATTTAACAACTGAACAACAATATTTAGAAAATTAAAGCAACTAAAGAGCTTCTTCAGATAAGCTTAAATTGGAAAATGCAACTACCTGAAATCTCGATATTTTTGGTTAGACAAAGCCTTCAACGGGGTTGTATAGAAGAGTCGTCTTCCTTTAGCAACAGTAGCCATTGCTGAAGCTTCTGCAATTAATGTCTTCCCACTACTAGTTGGTGCAGAAACTACAACTGATGAACCCCTTAAAAATGCTTGGATGGCTAACCTCTATGTAGAAATAGAAGATAGTAAAAATTTAAAATTAAAAGCCTAAGAAAGATAAGCGAATAAAATCCCCACCTAAAATGAAGTTAAATTCCTTCAAAACGTATAGTCTAACAAACAAATTTGTCTGATTAGAATAAAACCCTTAAAGTGTATCAAATTCAACTGAATTACACAAAAACTTTTCCAATTAGATTTTACATAATTGGGGGCATGGTTCTGCTGTTCCTTCGTGTGTAGCATACCATAAGCAGATAAGCTTTGGTGCAAAGATAAACTTTTCAATAGAAATACCACATGGACAAAATGAAAAGTAAGGGATTGAACAAGGAAACCCTGCAAATTAATATGCAGAAAATGTAGCAGCCCTCGCAGTAGTATATCACCGGTAGCTTAATTCTAAGAGCTATTAAGAACCACATAAAAGGTTTCTCAGTGGAAAATACTAGCTTGGAAGGCGATCTTGGACAATATTTATGTTTGATGGGTGTCTTACATTGAACCAAAGATGAAATCTCCACACCCAACCCCTAAGCCCGCCAACACTTCCAGCTTCATTAATAGTCCAAAACATCCATCATTTTAACATCAGTTACTTCAAAAAAAAGTAAGACCGGGATACACATGCATCCTCAGAATGCATTTCAAATACAGCCTGACAGTTTCTTCAAATTCTAAGGTGTTTGGCTGCCTCTTGGATTTAAGTTAAGCTAGGAAAATCCAAATTTAGTAAATCTAGTGAATGTTAAATCCAAATTTATGTTTGGTATTATTTAGATTAAATCCAGTTAAGTTCATACCAAATGTTTGCCATTTGTTTTTAAGATTTAACAGATAAAATGATGTCATTTTCTTAAATCCACCTCCAGTTTGGATTTATTAAATCCGGAATCACCATCTCGCCAAAGAAAGCTTTGGATTTAGCCAACAGCAGGATTTAAAAACACTGAATTCGTGTTTGGCGGATTTACGTTAAATTCATAGGTAAATCGCCTGTCAATGGCGAACCAAACGCAATGTTTCGTCCGCATAAACCCTTCAAAGACAATGATAATTTCAAAGAATAATAAGAGAAATATCATGGTGTAAAGCTCATGAGTCTTAGAAGCCTAAGGTATCTCGCACATGCATAAATCTGGATATAGGTTTAAAGTGCGGCACAGCTTATATATGGATTCATAGAAATCAACTCGGACATAAGTTAAGTCCGTCATATAAGCGCACAAACCTGGAACTTATCAATGGGAAAATCATAAACACCAGCAAGCTCATCAAAATCAATAATCTCCTCCCCGAACTCCCTGACCTCTGTTATAAGCCTCTCCACCCTCTGCCACGTATGATGGTTGTACTGAGTCAAAGACCCCGCTGAGTGCTGCACTTCCACCCTCACCTCCACCTCCTCTTCCTCGCTCTCCGTGTACTCATACACATCTTCAGAAAAAGCCCCAGTCGCTAAAACCCCATTTACATACTCTTCCGCCGCCACATCTTCATCATCTTCTTCATCCTCCTCCGCCTCATCCTCGTCTTCTAGTTCAAAGAACTGTTGTTCCCTCCCTGACGAGGGGCGGATGGAGAACAGAGTGACGGAAAGAGGAGGCCTTGCGACGGGCAATCTTCGTCCAATGCGGCGGGAGCCTAGGGAAAGGCAGCCGTCACTTCGGCAAGTGAAGGGAGGGAGGAATAGACGCCGGAGAGAAAGCGGGGAGCAAGCTGGAGCGACAGAGAGCATTTCAGTGTGGGTGGAGACGCAGAACCAACGCAAGGGCAACCGGAGCCACAAAATATTATCTGCGTTTAACGCTAATACAGCTTATCCTCCGCGAATTCAATAGGCTGTTGTTTAGTTTCTGCAGGTTATTCTGAATAAATAATCATTCTGTGTATGAATGATCATTCCGTGTGTCTGTTATGAATACATTTTTTAGGCGTTCTGCTTGTGCGTTTGGAAAAAAGCTACTGTTTTTAGATAAATGATCATTCCGTCATTATAATTTTCAAAAAATAATTTTTAAATTATGTTTAATATCAATTTTAATCAATAAATTATATTTTACACTAATTTTAAAATAAATTAATTTAAATTAAATTTATTAACAATATTACGCATTCCCACAATTAAAATATATAAGCTACATGAATTCTTTTTTTTTCTATTGCATCCTATCTAACAAATGAATTTTAATTTTTATATTTATATTAATTTACTTGTATTTTAAAAGATGAAGTATATTTTTAAAATATTAGTATTAATATTTTGTTATGTGATATCATTTTTTTTTAATATTAAATGAACATTAAAATATAAGTGAAACAAAGAAGTCTTTTTAGAGAGAGGGAATAAGAAGAAAGTAAACTCAAAAATAAAAAATATGCATGAGAAGCTGAATAACCTGAATTGAAAAACTTCTTATAACCCTTATTTTATTACACAATTAACACAAAGTATAGACACATATATATAGACTTGTCGATTGACAAATTTGTAATTTTATAACAATACAAAGTTTTGCAGACCACTTCACTTAAAATAGGGTTCAAGATACCAAATTAAAATACATATTAAAACTGCAATTAGTAATACGATTATAACATTCAATTTAAAATGCAACAATAACATCTCATGAGAACCGTTGTTTGGTTGGTGCACGATCGAACCCCGAGTAACATTATGCGGCTGGGAAACACTCGAATCATAATTGATGGTCTCCAATTGTGACACCGTCGAACCTCATGCAACGTTGTCCGATTGGGATAATGTAAAATCTAAAAGGGTTGTCTGCCCACCTAAAGAAGTCGCAATCGTCCAGTTTGTATTTCCACCTCGGGCATCTATAGAATTGCCGCCCGTAAATATGTTGTCGGCGTGACGTGAGTATAAGGGCGACATTCCGCAACGGCACATCGCTTACTCGGACTTCCCTGAATATCTGGAGCTCATCATCCTACAATTATTAAAAAGAGAATATATCAGCCAAAAAATATAAGAAATTAAGAAAATATACTTACTAAAGTGTGGATGCAGCGGTTGTCGACAACAAAGTTTTGTGCCCATCTAAGCTGCTCCACAGGGAGATAGGGGCGGGGAGAAAAAGAGGGGGAGAGAAAGAGAAGGGGAGAGAAGGGGCCAACCATCTCACCTAAATGGGAGTTCTTGACCCCAATACATGCAGAGAGGATTCAAAATTGCCATTTCAATTGAAATGAGCACTCATGTAAGAAGCAAATCATAAAAAATCAAAATACTTGTACATACATAAAGGAATCACAAGAAAGAAAAGGTCTTCATCTTCCATTTAGGGTATGCCCAAACTTCCCTTAGGCATTTGGAGTGGCGACAAACGAATCATTCTCTATGCTTCAAAAATTTCAGTAAAGCATTCTCTTATACTAGTAAAAACAAGTGGATCTAGATTTTTAGAAGCTTTGATCATTCTCAACAAGTGGGTCAACATTTTTAGCACTTTCTTCTCAAAACTTATAGATTTGCCGCAATATCCAAGAGAGAAAAAGTCGAAATTAGAGAAGGCTTTCAGCTAGGGCTGTCAAAAAAGTTCATTGTTCGTGAACAACTCGTGTTGGGCTCGTTCGTTAAGTAAACGAACTGAACATGAACAAATTTATAAAGCTCGAATTATAAACGAGCCGAACACGAACAACTCCTTGTTCGCTCGTGTTCGGCTCATTTTAGCTCAAAATAAAAAAAATTATATAACTATGTATATAACAATGTATTACATATATTATTTATATAATAATATATTATATATATCTATGTCTAAGTTTAAATCATAACACCTCACGTGACAATGTAGTTTGTGCATTCTTTTGTATATATTTGATCCAGGTTCGAATCTCACACTTTACATCTATTTCTCAATTTAAGTTTAACGAGTCAATTTCAAGTCGAACAATAACACAAATATTTTAATTGAGCCGAACACGAACACACAGTTCACGAGCCAATTTCAAACACAAGCCGAACACGAGCCAAGCCTGAGCTCGCTCAACCTCGACTCGTTTACAGCCCTACTTTCGGCCAAATGGGGGAGAGGAGGGAAGAGACAAATTTCTTTACCTGCGGAGCGAATTGGAGTAGCGACGGAGGCAGGAGTAGCCTCTTCGATAGAGGAAAAGTAGGGCGTAGATGGGGTTTAGCAAAGGAAAGGGGGGTAAAAGCTGGAGTGCAAAGTCGGACCTCGAGGATATAGAAAATAAAAAACATTGTTTTTAAAAGTTTATCTTAAACTTTAGAATCAAACAGTGATGCAGCGTTTTGAAAACGCCGCCACTCTTATAAGTTGCCCCAAACGAGCCCTAAGAGATCGTTTTGGGCTGAAATGTGTGGCTGTAGTGTTTGAAAACTGTGGCGTAGAATATGGTAATTTTTATCTTTTAAGCATGGCTCGCAAACGGACCTTGTTGCAGTTCCTCTCTGCCCTATCTCGCTCCTATCTCCCCCTCTACTCTCACTTCTCCTCTCTCCCGATCTCATAAGTTTCATTTCTTTTCTTACGTATGCAAATGTGCGCCAAATCATATAAATCACTTCATGTTTAATTGTTTGTTTGTTGTGTAATTTTATTTTTCGCATTATTGTGCACAACAATGGGGCCACAACAATGGGGCCATTTCATCAACTTCACACCAAATAGCCATTCAAACATAAACTAATACTATTTTGTCTTAATCTATCATTAGATCTGAAGGGTAAATCTCCTCTATTTGCTTCTCAAAGATATAATTGAAAATTTTCTTTTTTACTTATGTTGACATGTATTTTTTTTCTTTTGGATGAAATTAGTAGATATGTATTTTTTTTTTCTAAATTAAATGCTTGCTTCCTAAAAAGAGTTAGAATTTTTTTGTTTGATTTATATTTTATTTCATAAATTCATTTTGTCTAGTCGATTCATAATTTAGATACAAAAGTTTACGATGAATTTATAACTATTTTATATAGATTCGGTTAGATCTACTCATTTTTTATGCTAAATTAATATATTTAATAATTTCATATGAAGTAACTTTTATGTAGGTGTGCGCAAATTTAAATTTATTGAATTTCTTCATGTTTGTATATCCTAATTTTTTATGATGCAATAATAAACTATATGCAGGCAATCATAAAAAAAAAAAAACTCACAACTCACAAATAGCATCCCTATAATATCCCTATAATTTTAAAGAGCATTCTTTATTTTAATTTGTATAATTTAGATTTCTACTTAGATAATAGGATAATTTGATCTTTTGCCTCTTATAAAATATCAATTTTGTCTCTCCTGAGCTATCACTTTGTTCTTTATTGCCCTAATCTCCCCCACATTGGATTTAGGGGGATAATTTGCCATTGAAGAGATTAGATGTTTTAGATTTGCCTTATGTATAAAAGGTAGCGGTAGACCTCAAAGGACTCGATCAAATTTATAAAAAATAATCATAATTTATTAGAATTACATGAAAATATGACATTCAGTGTAACACAATAAAAAAAAAAATTTATTTTGCTGACCACTTAGTGGGATAAAGTCTTATTGTTATTGTTATTGGATAAATTAGTCTTGGAAGATTTATATATGAAATGAAAGTTATTGTCTAATTAAAATTTGAATACATAAAAAATAGATTACTACACTGTCGGCCGTTTTTTATCGTTCAGCTTGATTTTCGTAGTTTGAAAAGGTGATGATTTTGTGATTTTGAAAATAATTTAAATATAAATATAACTTTTTGAAAGAAGTAACTTTTTAATTTTTAAAATAAGTGAGACCAAACGAATCTCACATTTTCAGATAGTTTAGATGATTTAACGCAATACTACAAGCAATACACTTATCCCGAAGAATAAATATATTACTTGTAATAGGGATTCAATCATCTAGACTAAACAATTTGTGACATCCGTTTTGATCTGCGAAATATTTTATAAAAAGGCCAACAAGTTCCCCTATCTAACATAAAAATTAGATAGGGTTTATTTTATCTGGGTTCCTGGTTCCCTATAGAGGCAAGCCCCTATAGTTAATTACATCTTAAATGATCGAAATCACTTAAGAAAACTCTCGATTAAGATCAGGTGGTTTTGCTTTCAAGATTTCAAAATTTAGGTTTTCACGATTGGACATAAGAAAGTCAAATGGGAATGACTCAAAATAGGAACAATTATTTTAGGGATTCAAATAAAAGAAAAGTAGGGGATATCACAGATC